TTCTGGTAAAATTTGACATAGTATTTGTTCCTTTGTAAAGTAATTCAAGACATTTCCCAGAGCTAAATTTGCCTTAATTTCTTCTTTTCTTATGTATATGTAAAAATTGAGTGTATAGTTTTAGTTAAATGTTATAGCTCTGCAATATCTGAAGTTGCACAATCCTATTTTATTATATTCATGCTCTGATTGAAAAAATGTTACTTTCCAAGTAGGTAGCACGGTGGCCGACAGGTTAGCACATCTGCGTCACGTTGCGGAAATTGAGGGTTTGATTCGGGGCTCCAGCCTTTCCGTGTGGTGCTTGCGTGTTCTCTCTGTGCCACATTGCAAAGACATACATGGTTGGTTAATTGATCACTAGGTTGTCCCGAGATGTCATTGTGAGTGTGAATGTGAATGGTTGTTTGTCTATGTGTGCCCTGCGATTGGCTGGCAACCAATTCATGGTGTGCCCGCCGACTGCACGAAGACAGCTGGGATAGGCTCCAGCACGCCCCGCGACCCTTTTGAGGATAAGAGAATGAGAAAATTGATGGATGGACTCTTCAGGTACTTGGTACGTTAGTAGTGTTTTTTCAGAGACTACTTACGTATTTATTCACGCTGAAGTAATGATTTGGAAGACTATTTTTGACTTTGACTTTTATATTTTTCTAAAGCAGGCTTGTCCAGCTCCATTCCTTGTGGGCCGCTGTCCTGCCTGTTTTCCATCTCTCCCTGCTGCAACACACCTGATTCAAATGATCAGATCATCAGCAAGCTCTGAAGAAGCAGTATAACGATCCTGATCACTTGAATTAGGTGTGTTGCAGCAAGGAGAGATGGAAAACAGGCTGGAGAGTGGCCCTTTAAGACTGAGTTAGGATACTCCTGTTGGAAAGTAACAATACTCTTACTGGAGTACAAATTTTGGTTTCTCTAACCACCTCTGCTGTGGACCAAATCGCCCAGTCCGAGACCACCTGCAAGATGGTCTCAGTAGGGTTCCAAGATCACTCAACCATTTTCTCACATGGTTCCCACATTGCAGATGAGTGTATGGAAAGGGAACTCATGTGGTCATATTTGTCTCACTGGATCGCTCTGCCAGCTTTCCTCTGGACCTGTTGTACGGTTTGTCTTTCATCTACTCTCTCCCTTTTAACAGACACTCACTGCTTTCTGTTTTCTTCCTCGCTGAAACCACATCTCCTTCCACCCTTTTCCTCCACTCCCTTTTGCTGAGTATGACTGTCATCCCTCTGTCATGGCAGGTGAGGCTATAAAACTGCAGGGGCAGTCAGTGGAGGCCAGTGAGACAAGGTGTTTTGCGTGTGTGTGTGTGTGTGTGTGTGTGTGTGTGTGTGTGTGTGTGTGTGTGTGTGAGTGTGTGTGTCAACTGATTATTTTATATCCAAGAAGATCATATGCAAACTGTGCCTGCGTTTAGAAGTACTGCGTACGCAGTTATTAATCTCAGCTGCTCCAGGGTGTTGTTGGGTTAAAAGGCAATATCTGTAACTTATGACCTAAGAAATGTCTACACTCTACAGTGCTCTTCATTCATACCCTCGTGTCCTCATGTTGCCAGGCCAAAAGAGTATAAAAGAGTCTCAGTCTCTGAGTCTCAAATAAATAACAGCGTGTGCCCGAGTGGTTTACAGCTTGCTAGTGACATTAGAGAGTGTGAGGTCTATACTTTGCACATGCTGTAAGTGGGTTCAATGCATAAACATCAGGTGTCTCCTCTGTCCACAGTATACGATTGACTAAATAGTGTAGAAGACACCTTAACATTGCATACAGTACTTTAAAGAAAGTGATACTGTGCATGTAAACTGAATATATTGTAAGTATTGCATTTAAATTTTATGATGGTCCATCTCTGCCTAAAGTGTGTGGGGGTAAGTGAACTATTTTTTCAAATACAAAGCGCAGGTGCTACAGAAGTTGATATTTTTGGAGCACCGACCAATCATTTGGAAGTGGGAGGTCAACCCCAACTCCATCCTGAAAAAGGCCCAGCAGAGGATGTACTTCCTGAGGCTACTGAGGAAGCACGGCCTGCTACAGGAGGTACTAAGACAGTTCTACACGGCAGTCATCGAATCGATCCTGTGTTCTTCCATCACGGTTTGGTTTGGGGCTGCCACAAAAAAGGACAAAATACGACTGCAACGGACAGTTAGGATGGCGGAAAAAATCATTGGCACCATCCTACACACTCTTGAGGACTTGCACACGGCAAGAACCAAGACAAGAGCACGGAAAATCCTACTGGACCCCCCCGCACCCTGCCCACCACTTTTCCAGCTACTCCCCTCAGGCAGGCGCTACAGATCCATGCGCACCAAATCCAGCAGACACTTAAACAGCTTCTTCCCTCTAGCCATTAACTCCCTAAACAGTAATCCAAATCTATCTGTATAGTGGCTCTTTGCAATTTTGCACAACCCTGTGGAACAGCATTACCATTATAATCATTGTAGCTCCAGCTCTGTACTCACTTGAACCACTGTGTCACCCAAATTTCGTTGTATGTAATACAATGACAATAAAGGCGATTCTGATTCTGATTCTGTCACTGATCTATATTCCACAGCACCAGACACTTTAAAGCGCTCAAGGACATCTGCATAATTGCACACTTGTTGTACTACAAATACTGCTACTGGTCACTTTAAAATCGTGCAATGATTTTCTGCACCAACTGTCCAACTGTTATAGTATTGTATTTTACCACTGATCACTTTAGCTCTGTTTGATACTTTGCACATTGTCTCACAGTTGCCATTGGGTGGTACCACCGCAAAACGGTACACTTAGATTACGGAATGTCCTTCCATACTTATTTGTCATGTTCTTGTTTATGATGATACTAGTGCAGCATGTACTACCGGAGACATATTCCTTGTGTGTTCTACATACTTGAATTTTTAATTTAAGATACAGGGCGGCCCGGTACTTGAGTGTTTAGCACGACAACTTCACAGTGCAGAGGTTCAATTCCAGCTCCGGCCTTCCTGTGTGGAGTTTGCATGTTCTCCCCGTGCTTGTGTGGGTTTTCTCCGGGTCCTCCGGTTTCCTCCCACATTCCAAAAACATGCAGGGCAGGCTTATTGAACACTCCAAATTGTCCCTTGGTGTGAGTGCGAGTGCGAATGGTTGTTCTTTTCTGTGTGCCCTGTGATTGGCTGGTAACCGGTTCAGGGTGTCCCCCGCCTACTGCCCGAAGACAGCTGGGATAGGCTCCACCACCCCCCGCGACCCTAGTAAGGATAAAGCGGTTTGGAAAATGAATGAATTTAAGATACAGATGTGTGCTGTTTTTTTTTTGTTTGTTTTTTTTAATTAATTGAAATACATCTACTTATGCAACATTTAATTTTGCCAATTCCAGATTACCGGTAGTTATGATCCAGATTAGTCCACTCTAAAATCTTTTAAAAAATCATTGTTTTAATATTGTAAGCCATTTAATCCAAATCCAACTTCTGAACTAGTTAGGGCCCAATCAAAAACCTCTATGGGTTTTGAGGTTTTAGTCTCAAAGGAGAGAGAAGGTTAAGCATTAGAGACTGGAATAGAAGCGGAGAGATCATGGTTATTGAGATGATGAAAGAGAGAAGGGAAGAGAAGGAAAATAATGGAGAGATGGGGGAAGACAGGAAACAAAAAGTACAAAGACAGTACAGGGGAAGGAAAGAATGGTGAGGGGGTGTTGAACAAAAGAGAGGGAGGGTAAAAAATTAAAACATGTCTGTACTCTGATCAAAGTGTATTTCTAACATCGTTTTCTCATAGTCTGAAGTGGATGCATAGAAAGGCAAGCACACACTCCACTTGTGACATGCAATCGTGAGCCTCACACAAGGAGTGGTTGAGTTGGGTATACCATGCTCAATACCGCATTCGTAAACTAATTTTTTGTGATCCCAAATTCTCAATGCATTTTGTAAATAATGTGCAGTGGATGCATATTTATATTGTCGGATGCAGTGATTCCTATTGTGTAGTACCACATACATGGGCTCGTGGTAGGGATAGGCAAACGACTTCCTCGACCACACTTCATTAGTTTTAAGTTGTAATAACATTGTTCACCACTAGATGGTTTTGTGGTGATTTTGAGTCACTCAAATAATTAGAGACTCTTTCCACATATTGAAGAAGGAAGAGGGGAGCTACTTCGATTGGCCAGCAATCGGCTGCCTTCCATCCCACAACGGCGGAGACTCCCTCTTCCACTTGTGCAAGTCAAGGAACCCCCCCACCCCCTCCACAAAAACAAAGAAAACCTACTGAACTGGCTGGATAGAATAAACGGATTAGAAAAAGAATGAACGGATATATTGGTGATTGGCCAGAAAATTGTGATCGGTACACCTCTAGTACTAATCCACTGCTGAACTCTAATATTGATGAGCCGTAATGATGTGCAGTTGTCACTTGAATAATGTTATTTAAAACAGCTGCAGTTGTTTGAAAAGCCATTTATATCGAGAAGTGACTGTGTAGTTGTTTAAATTGGACTTTTTGTAGCTTTTTGTTCTGTTGGTCCTCCCACAATTATTGAGCTGGAAGAAATAATTAAAACCAGAAACACTGGGTAGCTGAGGGAGACGGATGGAGGGACACACTGATATGGAGAGGGGTTGGGGGGAGATTGGGCAGAGACCTCCGGTTTTATATGCTGTCTGGTTATGATTTGCAAAGAGCCATCATTCAGCAGTTCTGTAAACCTTTTGTGTGTTTTTTAAGCCCTTGAAAAATATGATCTCCTTTATCTTTTCTTGCTTCTCGTTTAGAGAGGGACCAGAAGCACAATTTTATTTTATTAGATTCTCCTACTCAACTATGCATATTTGCAGCATTTGCAGTTTTTAATTCCCTTTCTCCCACGATACGATAGCTCCTTTCTACGTTCATGAAAATGCCATGTGTTTGATAATTTTTGCAATAAAAATAAAAAGTCTTAATTTCTTTTATTTTTGTTTGTATGTTTTCCCCACATCAAGTGCCTCCAACCATGCAAAGAGCTTTGGGAATCCAAGAAGGTGCCTTCTCTCAAGTCCTGTGAGGTAAAATAGAGGGTGCCTCATCTGGGTGGCGTTGTGTGTATGTGTGTGTGCATGTGCGTGTGTGCGTGTGTGCGTGTGTGAGTGTGTACGTGTGTACGCGTGCGTGCGTGTACGTATGCGTGTGCGTGTTCGTATGCGTGTGTGCGCTTGTGTCAGACCATATCAGCACAGGGAACCTCGAGTAGTAGTTTTGTCATTGCTTTCTGTGTCACTGTCCAAGAGTGAGTATGTTTTGTGTATTTATTTGTAGTAAAAAAAAAAAAAAAACCCTCTGTCTTTCATGTTCTCAATAGAAGCAGACAGAGTGTGTGACCAGCAGCGAGTTTCTAACATCTCTGAGGTCATCCAGACAGGGTGACTGCCCTCCACCTCAACGTGCAACGGGTTTTGCAGCTGCCTGTGTGGAAAGCTGCTCGCTAGACCGACATTGTCCTACCCCTAGGAAGTGTTGCTTCAATGGATGTGGACAAACATGTCAAACACCAGCCAATCTTTACAAAGGTGCCCCCACACCTGATTTGTTCTTGTGCCTGCCCAGCCATATTCGTTGATTAAATGTCATTTGTGTTTCAATGTTGGTGCATTTCCAAAAGGCTACAAATGAAAAGAAATGAAATAAAGTATAACTATTAATCTAATATACAGTAATACTAATTCGATTAGATTTGTTTTGTTTTTTTTAAATGCTGATTTAATATGAGTACTTTAGATCAAACGTTGTAATAGCAAATCAAGTTTAATTGAGATCTGATCTAAATTGTCCAACTGGCAGCAATTTAAATGTGATAGAAAACACCATTTAATACATTCAGAGTCATTTGTATTTTAAAGATATCTTTAGCGGACAGGTGCATTATTTTTATATCTAATTATTTTTTCTGGATTTAATGTAATGTTGACAAATCACCGATGTTTATTTAAGCCATTGTGCAAGATGGCAGTGACACTTTTCTCGTGAATACTGCACACCCACTACAGTATTAGCACGACCTGATAAACGGATCATTCCATTTCAACTGAATTACAAAGCAGTAATCGCATGTATGATTGAAGTTGTGGGATTGATTACGAAGCAAAAAGTGTTCTCTTTCTCCTGCAGGCGTTCCCCTGAAACCCCGCAGAGATATGAGCTTTGTGGAAGATCTGCTGGGTCGGGTAAAAGTGATGTGGATGTCGAAGTTCAATGTCAGCATAGAGCCGGTCGTTTACGTGCTCCAATCACGCTGGAATACAGGCATTCACCCCAGTGAAGATAATGCGTCCCCATGGATCACTGTTGCCCTGGTAAATAACCACCAAACTCTCTTTTTTTTCCTCATTCCAGGCCAGCCTTTGAGGATTTGACATTGGCAAAGGTTTTGCCTTTTAACAGTTTAACAACCTTAAAAGGTTGTGCAACATATCCCGACATCATAATTCACTGTGGACACGATGGAGCATTTCCACCTCCTTAGTCTCCTGCTGTCTAAACCTTTTCTCTAGATTGTCTGACACTTTGCCAGGGTAAACTGTTCATGTGAATGTATGGGTGCGTATGTGTGTGCCTGTGTGAGGTTAGGTAAATAAGCAGAGCTTAAAAAGGATCCATTGGTAGTCACAGCCGTTCCATCGACTGCATCTGAATGACTGAACATTCATTATGGACTTAAATAGATGACGGCTCATGTCAGGTCTGTATGCCAAGCCAGCTATTGTCCACATATTTTGTACTGTACACTATATTGACCCATTAATTTGAACAAATCTTTTTTTTTAATTACTATTGCCTCTCTTCTTGCCATTTTAATATATAGCGCTTTATTAACAAAGCCTTACGGTAATGGGGTGGTTAGCACCTCTGCCTCTCAGTGGAGATGTTCTGCATTTGCATCTTTACTCAGGGCTCTCTGTGTGGAGTTGACATGTTATTGCTGTGCGTGCGTGGGTTTTCTCGGGGCACTATGGCTCCTTCCTGCATTCTAAAACATGTTGACACAGTTCGGGAACGAACTGAATGGCGATCTGATCCTACAGACGTAGACACAAACAAAATTCAATAACAAAAGCGCACCAACAAAGTATAAACAGAAATCGCTTATCAAAAAGAACCAGAAAAAAAAATACATTAACTAAAAGCACGTTCAAAGGCTGTCATGTTCCGTATTAGACAGCAGGTGGCAGGCGTTCATTCTGCCGCCTGCACACCTGCTGCCCATTTGTCTGTGATTACACCTGCTTTATCTAGGCGCTCCGGCTGTCGACTCATTGCCGGAGTATTGCTTGCCGTGCCACTGCTATTGCCCATGATCGTTAACCTTACTCGTATTCGATTATTGTTCGCTACACTTTCTTCATCCCATCGGGATTATTTAAAGACGCATATTTGAGCTAGTACATTATCTTATCCTTTTCCTTGCCGTTCTTTGCAAGCGCTTTGTTTTTTCTCGTTACATTATTTTCCTGGTTCTTGTTTTGACCAGCGTTTTCTGTTGTCCTTTAAGACGGTATTTTTTCGTTTGTAATAAATATTATTTTTTGAGACGAAGGCCTTGTCAGTGTCTGCTGCTTCGGGGATCCACTTATTCT